CATTAGGAGATATATCTGATGTAAATGACAAGTTGATGGCTGCAGCAAACCAACATGGCACATGTATACCTATGTAACAAACCTGCACATTGTGCACATGTACCCTAGAACTTAAAGTATAACAAAAAAATAAATTTTAAAAAAATGTTAAAAAAAAAAAAAGAATCTGTCATCCCTTCACAAAGCTAATTCCTTAGCCACAACTAAGAGTTCTCCGTATCTAAGAGTAATCCATTCTTCCAGAAATAGACTTGATTTTTATCTGTGCAACAACCTTTACAGTAACAAGACAAATCCTAAACTCTTCTGCTGGGTTTAAGGTCTTTCTGATTCAGCTTCTCCTTATCTTCCTAATTCTCCTCTCCAACCTGGGACATAAACATATTCTTATCTTCATGTGGTTGCTTCTCAACTATATTCCCTACCTTAAGCATCCTTTTCCCATCTCACCTCCTTTAACACCATGCTGGAAATTTGATCCCCTTTCAAAATAGGGTGTTTTTAACCTTTCGGTCCTGAAATACCTATGACATAGACTTTTATCTGTTATCTGTTATCAGTGGCTCATTCCTGGAAGCAGAGTATGCATGTGTGTGTATGCTATATGAGCTCTCATCTCTAAGTCTGAAAAAAATCCCTCAAGAATGTTCTACAACATCCTTGGAGATATATCAGCACACACAACTTTCCTCAATCACCCAGTCTGTACCACTCATTTTAGCCCCTGTTCATATACTTCCTTATACCATTTTTTAGTGTGTATTTCTTGTATCCCCAGTAATACTAAGCTACTGTCACTGAAACCATGCTTTATATTTCCCAACGTATGTATAATTGGGCCCAAATACAATGCTGAGTGTCCTTTAATTGTTAAACAAGTATTGGTTCAATTAAATGGAAGTATTTCATAGAACTTTCAAATTAGGGCCAGGCATGGTAGCTCATGACTGTAATCCCAACATTTTGAGAGGCTGAAGCAGGTGGATCACTTGAGCCCAGATGTCTGAGACAAGCCTGGGCAACACTGTGAGACTCCATCTCTACAAAAAATAAAAAATAACTAGCCAGGTGTGGTGGTGCAGGCCTGTGGTCCCAGCTAATCAGGAGGCTGAAGTAGGACTGCATGAGCCCAGGAGGTCAAGGCTACAGTGAGATGTGATCATGCCACTGAATTCCAGCCTGGGTGACAGAGCAAGACCCTCTCAAGAAAAAAAAAGACACACAAAATTAAAATACAATTTTCATTAAAAGGAATTATCATTTCAAAGTTATGATTAGTCTCGGCTGGGCGTAGTGGCTCATGCCTGTAATTCCAGCACTTTGGGAGGCCAAGGAAAAGTGGATCACCTGTGGTCAGAAGTTTAAGACCAGCCTGGCCAACATGGTGAAACCCTGTCTCTACTAAAAATACAAAAATTAGCTGGGTATGGTGGCACACACCTGTAGTCCCAGCTACTCAGGAGGCTGAGACAGGAGAATCTCTTGAACTTGGAAGGTGGAGGCTTCATTGAGCCGAGATCACGCCACTGTACTCCAGCCTAGGTGAGACAGAGCAAGACTCCATCTCAGCAACAACAACAACAAAGTTATGATTAGTCTCAATGACTACACAATTACCCCTCTGAAAAGTTTTTTATGAATAAAAAGTTATATTACTATATTTACTCATTTTATTTTATTTTATTTTTTGAGATGGAGTCTAACTGTTTTCTGGGCTGGAGTGCAACTGCACGATCCCGGCTCACTGCAACCTCTGCCTCCCAAGCTCCAGCAATTCTCTTGCCTCAGCCTCCCAAGCAGCTGAGATTACAGGCGCCCACCACCACGCCTCACTCATTTTTTTTTTTTTTTGTATTTTTAGTAGAGACAGGGTTTCACCACGTTGGCCAGGCTGGTCTTGAACTCCTGACCTCAGGTGATCCACCAGCCTCCCAAAGTGTTGGGATGACAGGCGTTAGCCACCGCACTCGGTCCATATTTAAATAGTATTATATTTAAAATAGTACAGGTTGAGCATCCCTTATCCGAAATGCTTAGGACCAAAAGTGTTTTTGGATTTCAGATTTTGTCAAATTTGGGAATATTTGTATCACACTGGTCAAGCATCCTTAATCCAAAAATCTGAAATCCAAAATGCTCCAGTGAACATTTCCTTCCAACATCATGTCAGTACTCAAAAAGATTCACATTATGGGACATTTCAGACTTCAGATTTTCTAATTAGGGATGCTCAACCTGTATCTTCAATTTCAATATGTTAGACTAGGACACCATTTATATCTTGCACAAAACTCCATAAATTAAACATGTAGTCCTAGCATGGATAACATAGCAAGACCCCATCTCTCAAAAAAAAAAAGAAAAAAATTAGCCTAGCATGGTGGTAGTCCTAGCCACTTGAGAGGTTGAGGCAGGAGGACTGCTTGAGTCCAGGAGTTTAAGGCTGTAATGAGCGATGATCGCACCACTGCACTTTAGCCTGGGCAACAGAGTGAGATCCTCTCTAATTAATAAATAAATACATAAACTAAACATGTAGCATTATTTGTCCTTAAAGCTCAAATAATGTCCAGAGCAAGTTCATATACCACACAATTTATTTATTTATTTTTACAAATGTTCATGTTAGCTTTATTCATAATAGCCAAAAATTGAAAATGACTCAGTGGGTGAATGATTAAATAAACTGTGGTACATCTACACCATGTAATAGTACTCTGCAATGAAAAGAAACAAATTATTGATACATGCAACAACTTGGATGTTAAAGCCAATCCAAAAAGGTCACATATAAAATTTCATACATTTAACATTTTTTAAATGACAAATTAAAGGAATGAAGAACAGATGAATGGCTGACAGAGATTAGGGAAAGGGAAGAGGGTGGGAGGGACATAAATGTGACTATAAAAAGGCAACACAAGAATTCCTTGTGGTGATGGAACTGTATCTTCACTGTGGTGAATACAGTACTCTACATTAGACACCACACAATTTAAATAGCAGCTACTCTAAAGCATCCTAGCTTTACATGCACATTGAATTACCTATTTCAAAGGGAATTTTAATCAGTACTACTTACACAGAATGTTTCCTTCAAATTTGTTACTTGGTGCAATAATTGCTAACACTTATTGAGCATTCATCACGTTTCAGGTACTATTCTAAGCCCTTTATATTTTCTCATTTAATCTTCAAACAACCCCATGAAGTAGATCATGCTCCCAGCTGACAAACAGGAAATCAGACAAGTTAAGTAACTTACCAAAGTCAGCCAGTTAGAGTGGAAGAGTTAGGATTTGAATCCAGACAGTCTAACTCTGCAATGAGTGCACTTAGCTACTTCTTTCACGTTGCCTTTTAAACAGGGATCAATTATGAGGCAATATAAGCCCTGCTGAATTTGACTCCTTAAAAGAGAAATGCTATGAATTCCAAAAAGATTTTAAAGTCTAGGTGACTTTAAAAAGTCTAGCAATAAATGAGATGAGAAAAACACTATCAGCACTAAGAGGGATGGTTTTGAAAAAATATGTCCGTTGAGTATTTAATGTTAAAGTAAAATAAAATAGCCCAATCCATGAATTAAAGAATAGCAAATGAGTTATATTTACTTTACCTTCTCATCTCACACTCAAGAATGTGTAATTTTGCCCAGCACAATAATCAAGATGTTATAAATATACCTTGAATCAATATATTACTGTCCCAATACTCTTCCTTCCAATCAGAAGCAAAAAGGTCCTCTTACTTGTATCTCCCCTGGACATCATCTCCTTTGTGTACTTCAATTTTTTTTTTTTTTTGAGACAGGGTCTCACTCTGTTGTCCAGGCTGGAGTGCAGTGGCCCGATACCACTGCAGCCTCAACCTCCTGGGCTCAAGCGATCCTCCTACCTCAGCCTCTTGAGTAGCTGGGACTACAGGCATGCACTGCCACACCAGGCTGTACTTCACTTCTCTATTATCTTTAATCACTCCTATACAGGATCCTTTTCTTTCATTGCCAAGCATATTCTAGTATTTCTAACATTAAAAATTTGTGTTTAAATCCAATTCCTCTCATTCCTTCTGAGACCAATCTCCTGGAAATGTGGTCTACACCTATTGCCTCCAGTTACTAATAAATATTTTACTAGAAATCTTCAGCAATCTCTTTTTTCCATCTATCACTATAAAGAAACTGCACTTTTGAAGATCATTATTTTTGCCAAAACCATGGCCAAATACTTTGTTCATTAAGTTTGTTCATCCTTCCTCCTCTAAACTTTCTGGGACCTTGTTTCCTGACACTCCATTTTTTAGGGGCTTTTCTCCTCCTTACTTTTTATAGTTCCAATTTCTTTACTGATTCTTTTTTCCCCTCATGTTCCAATAATAGGTGGCCCCAGACTCTGAAAATCATTCATTCTACGTAGGAAAATAATCATTCTCTATGACTCCTAAATCTCTACCTTCAGACCATTACAGCTGCAACCCAGTCCTGCATTTCCAACTTCCTATAAGATGTTAAACTTTCATGTTGTCAGACTCATTAAGTTCAAAACTAATCATCACTTCACATCTCATTCAATCTTTCTTTGCCAACTACAGTACTCTGTTTTGCTCAGCAATAATTCCATTCTTCCGTTTTCTTTCCCCACTAAAAAAATACTTTCATCATCTTTTACTCTTCCTTCAACATCACCTTTACATCTAAAAAGTTAACTTTGTTACTTTGTTAACTTTATCATCAAATTCTGACATATTTCTTTTTTTTTTTTTTTTTTAAGACAGAGTCTCACTCTGTCTCCCAGGCTGCAGTGCAGTGGTGCGATCTTGGCTCACTGCAACCTCCAACTCCCAGGTTCAAGTGATTCTCCTGCCTCAGCCTCCAAGTAGCTGGGACTACAGGCGTGCACCACCATGCCTGGCTAATTTTTGTATTTTTTGGTAGAGATGGGGTTTCACCATGTTAGCCAGGCTGGTCTTGAACTCCTGACCTCAGATGATCTGCCTGCCTTGGCCTCCCAAAGCGCTGGGATTACAGGCATAAGCCACCACACCTGGCCTCTGACATATTTCTTAAAAAGATATACACTTGTACTCTTAGATGTGGGCTTCACTCTCATTCTCAATTATAGCTACTTATCTTGTTCCCAATCTTAGCCCCTTTCCCTAATCCATCATGTCTTTCATTGTCACCACTTTTATCATTACCTTGCTTGAGATCCCATAACAGTTCCCATACAGCTATATGAAGTCGAATCAGAATTCCTGTCTGGTTTTCAAGGCACTACTGTATTTGATCTTATTATCTGATCCTATCCAGGTTCATTTTCTACTACTTCAGTTCTTACCCTAAGTAGCCTTTCCAAAATCCAACATTCTGCATACACTTCCTCTAAGGTTTTGTATACAACATTGGGGGATGAGGGGAGGTGGGAGTGAAGAAAGTTCCAGTAGACAATTCTTTAAAAGGTTAAATCACAGCCGTATAGCCACACATGCACCCCCTAGTCTAGACAGATGATCTCTCTACTATTCTCCCTGCCTTTTTATTCACCTTATCGACAATTAAAAACACTTCTCTACTCCCGTTTGTCTGAGCAAATCTTATCCATTTTCCATGTGCCATCTCCTCAGAAGTTTTCCAGAGCTTGGCAGAACTAGTTCTCTTGACAATTCCACTTGCAGTTGTAGTTCACAGCACACAAGTAAAGCTTTGTTGTTTCTCTTGTGGTTAGTCCGTGAAGGGGCTCTGACTTGATCACTTTTCTACATTGCCACCAATACCTAAATCCAACCGCCCTAACGCCAATACTTGGTCGGGTATTATGCACGTAGTGCTTAAACACACCTCAACACACAAGTATTGTGAAGATAATGACCACACAGCAGGGCAAATACAAAGTTAAAGCAGGTCCGGAACCAATACAAAGCATTTTTACCAATAAAATGCCGTGATGACGCTGTCACCCATTCCGGATTCATCAATCATTCTTCAAAAGTCCGGCTCCAAAACTGTGTCGAGACTGAAATCTCCTGAAGAAAAAAAGAAAAAAAAAAAAAAAAAAACCCGCCAAAATGACAGCTAAGAGAGAGGCCAGACTAACCCCTGGCCCTCCCAAATTCTCTCTCGCTCCACCACAAGTGGGTTCACAAGAGACACAAACGCACCCAGGAAGACCTCCACTCCCTCAGACGCGGGGCGGGCCCTGCGACTTCACCCTGGGAGGGACATTTCCGCTCACCCAGCTCTGCGACCCTCGCTCCTGCCGAGTCAGCTTCTGCTGGCGAAGGGGGAAGGGCAAAAGGACAGTGCGTCCCAACCCGTCCCTCTTCAGCTGAGCCTGTCAGAGACCAGCCCAGCTCTGAAATCACGCCGCTGTGAAAAGGCAATTCGGTCCTCCGCCGGCTCTTCAGTTTAAAATCGTTTCCCGACTCGCTCTGCGGCTCCACGCAGGAAGCCTCCTTAGCGCCTCGCCGATTCCGTATCAGTGAAGCAACTAAAATTGCCATTTTAACTGAGGGCAAGGCCGAGCCACTTAACCGCTATCCTCAACCTTTCCAACCGTGCTCGGTTGCTCGTCCGTTTCCCTACTGGTGGGAAGCTTTCTCTCAAATTTCCGCCCGTCGTAAGCATGGCGGCGGCACCTCACCACTGATTCGTTGAATTCCTTCCCCGTAATCTTGGGCACTAGAGGGCGGAGTTGAAGGGCGCTTGGACCCCCACGGCGATCTGTGTTTGGGTTCGGACTCTGGGAGGATTTTGGCTTTGCTCGCCTTCCTCTTTCAGAAGACTCGAGATCGGCCAGCAGGTCTGCGAGATTTGAAACGCGACTGTTACTCCTTGTTTTCCGGTTCTGGCCGCAGGAGCCTCTCGGGAAGCGTGGAAAGAAGGGTAGGGCGTATGCCTAGTGACCGCCTCTGGTTGTCGGGCTCGCGGCTGGCGCCGCTACGTGGAGTCGCTCTCTCTTCGTCACTTTTGGTTGCAGACTTGTTGAGTAGAAGTGCAGACTGATGCTTTAAGACTCGGGGAAAGGTCTTTCCCTTATCTCCACCCCATCAAGCACCCCAGAGACCTTGGAGATTTGTCTTGTTTCTAGACACGTGTACTCGAATGTTGTGCGGAGGACTTAAATATTCGAGAAGAGAGTGGGAACTCCTGGAATTTTAAGAGATTTCTGTGTATTTCCAAAGCTTTTAACTACCGGCAGCGTGGGATTCGTGATTGTTTTTCGCCATCGTGTGGCTCCAACATGTCCTTCCCTTCTTGGTTAAGTCAGCTGTACAGGGGTTTATCCAGACCCATCCGAAGGACAACCCAACCGATCTGGGGTTCTCTCTACAGAAGTCTGGTGCAGAGTTCACAGAGGAGAAATCCAGGTGAAAATAGCGAAGAGATCTGTCCTGTGAACAGTACTTCAACCTGTTATCTACGACCAGAGAGCTTTTATTCCATATTTTCCCCCATTCTTAACTGGATAGCCTTATGTGTAGAAGCAGATCATTCACTCTTTTCATTCATTATAAGGCAGATTTTTTCCCTGAGTTTTTAGAAAGACCACAAAAAGGTAACCACGTAATATATAGAATACTCTGCTTTTGGTTGATATCTTAAAAAATCCTTTTTCGGCCGGGCGCAGTGGCTCACGCCTGTAATCCCAGCACTTTGGGAGGCCGAGGCGGGCGGATCATGAGGTCAGGAGATCGAGACCATCCTGGCTAACACAGTGAAACCCGTCTCTACTAATAATACCAAAAAAAACCCACAAAAACCAAAAAACCATTAGCCGGGCGTGGTGGCGGCCGCCTGTAGTCCCAGCTACTGGGGAGGCAGAGGCAGGAGAATGGCGTGAACCCGGGAGGCGGAGCTTGCAGTGAACTGAGATCGCGCCACTGCACTCCAGCCTGGGCGACAAAGCGAGACTCCGTCTCAAAAAAAAGGAAAAAAAAATCATTTTTCACAGAATATATATATATTTCACAGAAAATCATTTTTCACAGTGTTTTCTAGTGTACAAGTGGCTGTTAAACAGTAGATTCATATTAAAACTAAATAGTTCATGCACCATCCATTTCTACAGTTTCTAAAATCCTATTTCATTTGGGGAAGAAATGTGCAGTATTAAGAATTGGGTAATTAGGATTTTAGGTAAATGCAAATACTAGAAGATCAAAAAAATTTTGATTTCCTAACACAAGACAGAAATTTACGCTTATTCACTTGGCTTTTGACACATTTGCAGGTAAATTTAATAGTGAATGACCTGTTTCCCTGACATACCTTAGATGTATTTTGAGAATTTTTATTGTTAAGCAACCTGCAAGTGATGTATTTTTAATCTTGCCTTTTAAAGTCTCTTTTCTTTTTAAAAAAAAAAAAAAAACAGAATTCAGTAGCTTTGCTGTCCGGACCAACACATGTGGAGAGTTGCGTTCGTCTCACTTAGGCCAAGAAGTCACCTTGTGTGGATGGATTCAGTACCGAAGGTAAATTGAGGAAGACAGTCTAAGAATGCATGGTGGTGGTTTTCCCAGGGCAATTCTAAACCTTTACTAATTTACAACCAGTCCGAAGAATAAAACGTTTTGCAACTCCTGCAGGTTTAAGAATTTACTGAATTTTCAACTTTGTTTTGAAAGGCCCAAGTGTCATTCTCAGTAGGTGCCAGTAACATCTGTTGAAGGGTATAACAATGAAGCTTGATCCACCAAATGGACTGAAATGATACTGGGCTTACTAAGACTGAAGAGTTCCTATGACCAGTAATTAAAAATGGGCCAGCCTCCTATAAACCAGCTGTTAAACTCCAATAGCATGGGGGAGAAAGCTCGTTTTATTCCATTTAGGTAGAGAACAAGCCCAGAAACAGTGATTCTTTAAGATCAGAGCCCATTTTTTGTTGTTGTTCATCTCTCTATTCCAGAACATTCCTGAATAGTACATTAATTCATATGGAAGAGACCAAAAATACATGGTTTTTTTTCCCTTTTTTTTTTTTTTTTTTTGAGATGGAGTCTACTCTGTCGCCCAGGCTGGAGTGCAGTGGCTGGATCTCAGCTCACTGCAAGCTCCGCCTCCCGGGTTTACGCCATTCTCCTGCCTCTGCCTCCCGAGTAGCTGGGACTACAGGCGCCCGCCACCTCGCCCGGCTAGTTTTTTGTATTTTTTAGTAGAGACAGGGTTTCACCGTGTTAGCCAGGATGGTCTCGATCTCCTAACCTCGTGATCCGCCCATCTCGGCCTCCCAAAGTGCTGGGATTACAGGCTTGAGCCACCGCGCCCGGCCAATGACCTTCTTAAAGAATATGTCCCAGCCTGGCGCCTAAGCCTGTAATCCCAGCACTTTGGGAGGCCGAGGCGGGCGGATCACGAGGTTAGGAGTTCGAGACCAGCCCGGCCAACGTGATGAAACCCCATCTCTACTAAAAACACAAAAAAATTAGCCAGGCGGGGTGGCGCACGTCTGTAATCCTAGCTACTCAGGAGGCTGAGGCAGGAGAATTGCTTGAACCCAGGAAGCAGAGGTTGCAGTGAGCTGAGATCGTGCCACTGCACTCCAGCCTGGGCGACAGAACAAGACTCCATCTCAGGTTGAAAAAAAAAAAAAGGAGTTTGTCCCAAGTAGGTGGATAGTTTTCCCGTAAGTGTAGTGACTTTGTTTCCTGAACCCAAATCTGAAGAGGGTTTCTGTACCTGTTTCTGGTGCTGAGGACACTATGAGAAATAGAGGTTGGCATTTCTAGGACCTTTTGATGATTCATAGAGGTATTAAATTAGTAGTTGGAACTCTTCCAGAAAATTTTAGATTGTATCTTTTTTTAGAAAAAGACTTTATATTGCCGTATTTCAAAAATGATCCATCAGATGTTTCCATTATGCTAAAATATTATCTTTGGATTTTACTATGTGCAAAGTTTCCAAATTTAATAAAATTTTCTTATAAGGGCTTAAGCCAATAAAAATTTTTTAAATTGTTCATCTATAATAATTTTTCATTAATAAGCCATCTGTATAAGATTAATTTTCAGATAAGTAAACAATAAAAATTGAAACTGAAATAAAAAACAATATTTTTTCATCAATGAGCTACATAGATAACAACTGCATGAATGTAAAGAAAATACATAATTATCATAAAAAACATGAAAAATTGTAATTATCATAAAAAAGAAACATGAAAAATTGCATGGATTTTTGTTTTTTATTTTGTCTGCTTAAACTTTGGACTTAGAGATTTTATCTTAAAATGTTCCTTTTTCTTCCCCCTCCCATTAATCAGGCAAAACACATTCTTGGTCCTAAGAGATTTCCATGGGCTTGTTCAAGTTGTCATTCCCCAGGATGAGGTAATAGAAAATTTCCTGTTATTATCTAAAAGCCTCTTTGATGCTGTGGCTAGGGTAAGCTAAGTAGTTAGATGAATATGTTAGAGGTTTTAAATTCAGAAGTTTATTGTTAATGAAAACTGAAAAATATCATAAGCAATGTTAAGACATGGCAAAAAGACCAGTGACCCAGTAGAATTATGAACCTAGGATATGAACAAAAACTTTAGAGGAAAAAAATATATAAATGGCTTGTAGACATAATGATATGCCCAGCCTCACTCATAGGTAGAGAAATGTGAATTAAAACTGCATGTAATTGTCATTTTTAACACATTAGATTGACAACACACTGTGTTTGGGAAAGCAGGTGCTCAATTCCTGGAGGGAATACAAATTGGCACTAGCTGAAGGGAGAGCAATTTGGCAATATCAAAACTATAAATGCATATATCCTTTGAGCCATTAATTTCCCTTCTGGTAAATTATCTTATATCTAGACTTATACAGATACAAAATGGCATATGTACAAGGATATTCATTTCAGGATTCTTTTTAATAGAAAAAATTGGGAACCACCCAGATGTCCTCCAATAAGAGACTGGCTTAAAAAATAATGTATATTCTTACAATAAGATACTCTGCTCAGCCATACAAAAAAGAATGAAGAAGTTCTATTCTAATAGCAAAAAAAAATCCAAGGAATACTGTTAAGTGAAGAACCGGTATTCTTGAGTATACAGAAGAGCAGCTATTAAACTCCAGCACTCTAGTGCTGTCTTCTGTATAAAAACTAGGGGAAGGAGGCAGAATATATACTCAGTTTGTGTGTGTGTGTGTGTGTGTGTGTGTGTGTGTGGATTTGCTTGTATATATGTTATGAAATGTCTCTGGAAGGATACCTAAGTATCTGGTAACACTGGGTGCTACTGGGGGAAGGAACTGAGGGCCTTGAAAACAAGGATGGGGGGAAACTTTTCACTGTATCTTTTTGTACCCTTTGAATTTGAAGCCATGTGAAGGTACTAACTGCTCAAAAAGTATTTAATTTAATTACCATTGAAATTAGATACAATATGACAGAGTGATATTATGAAAAAACAATTTTTTTAGTTAAAAAATTCAAGGCCAGGCGTGGTGGCTCACACCTGTAATCTCAGCGCTCTGGGAGGCCGAGGCCAGCAGATTGAGTATAGGAGTTGAGACCAGCCTGGGCAACAGAGTAAAACCTCATCTCTACTAAAAATACAAAAAATTGGCCCGGCGCGGTGGCTCACGCCTGTAATCCCAGCACTTTTGGGAGGCTGAGGCGGGTGTATGTCAAAGTCAGGAGTTCAAGACCAGCCTGACCAACATGGTGAAACCCTGTCTCTACTAAAAATACAAAAATTTAGCCAGGTGTGGTCGTGGACGCCTGTAACCCCAGCTACTCAGGAGGCTGAGGCAGGAGAATTACTTGAACCCAGGAGGCAGAGGTTGCAGTGGGCCAAGATTGTGCCACTCTACTCCAGCGTGGGTGACAAAGCAAGACTCCATCTCAAAAACAATAATAATAATACAAAAAATTAGCTGGGCA